GGGACTTGTAGCTTGGCATCAGCTGGAGGGCTGCCAGTTTGACACCCACGATAAATGACCTGAAACTTGCATGCCAGGAGTTCTGGGAAGGGCAAGTAGCGGTATGAAAACCTGTGTCAACATTGGGAGGAGAATATATATCAAAGGTTAGTGCAACAAACTAGATATGGTTGTGTGCCAATGAAAAGCACAGAAAACTGATGGTGTGGTAAATGAGCATCTTTGATATCCAGAGGCCAGGTATACCCCTCATCTCAGTAGGAATTGCTGACCTTGCCAATTCTACACAATATTTTGGAATTTGAAGGAAGCGGTTAAGGCGTTTTATATCTAGAAAAGTACAAATACACTCATTGGACTTTGATACCGTGAACAGGTTTAAGGAGAATCTGTTGAACCTGCCTAGTACCAATACAATGACTTTGTGGGACAAAAGATAGTCCGGGGGATTTTGTAAATCTGGGCTCAGGCAATTTTTTGGTTAATTTGGGGGAAAAAAAAAAAAAAAAAGCGGCAGACTGTTTTGTATTCTTTGAAACTACAAGTCTAGAAGGTTTGATCCAGAGAGGCAAATAGAGTGGGGGGCAGTACATCCACGTGTCAATACTCCATTATGATGAGGGATTTGAGAAAGTCTTGCTGGGTTGGGTGGTTCAAGATTTGCACCAAAAAGGGTGGGTTGAATATAGGTTTTGAAGTTGAAGCCTAGATAGAGCTGACAGGTGCTGTGTTTAGATGAGCTAGGGACTCCTGAAGAAAGTAGTTTTGGGACCTTACACTATGGAACTAAAACCTTCACCAAGCAGACATTTTTCAGAAAGGCATACATGTGATTAACCTTTTGCAGGCAGCTTCATTTGTCTAAGCTTTTAGCCATATTATTCCGCATGTGACTAGAGATTATAGCCATTTAGGAAATTTGATTCATAACATGGTTCTAGGCTATCCACGCAGAAAAGCAGAGCAGAAATGCAGGTGTTGTAATTCCTATGTATCAGCGTTCAATTGTTGCTCATTGTCCTAGTCCAGTTAGCTGCAATTTGACAGACAGTAATTGCAGCAAGAACTGGTGGCAGGGCTGGACCTGCAATATTAAAGAAAGCCTATAAAAACATCTCAAATGCAAAATGTTAGGTCACTAGGTATAGTGAGATGTTTGTTTAGGACAGAGATAAGTATCAACTACAGATTAGAGCACTATTCTAAATTGTCCAGTGGAAAAAAGCTTGCACAGATTTTAGGGCAGTGGCCTAAACATTATTCTATCTGGTCAGGAACAGGTAATGTTTTGCAGGTCTTTGTAGCCAAAAAAGGGGCAAGTCAAGACTGGAGAGAGTTAGATTACACAATGTCAAGGTTCTTGCAGACCGACATCAGCTTTTCAATATTAGCAAGCATGCTGCATAAAAGGCAGCTCCCTTTTCAATATAGTGACAATCTGGGGAAGAAAAATCTTGGGCAGCGTCATCTACTACCGCCTCAGTCTCCTTTTTATTGACTCCTGTATCTGCATCCTCCAGAACCAGTGTATAGGGCACTTGTTGCCTGCCTGAAATAGAACTAGATGCAGAGACTAGTCTCAAGATTCAGTTCTTGCTCCAGTGCAAGGGATGCATCTTCAGTCAGAGAGTTGTGCAGGCGCAGCAAACGTTCACCTATGTTGACTACCTTTCACGTGCTCTCTGCATTAGCTACAAGTGAGGTTGTTCCCCTGTGGGGTACTCACAAAACAGGGTGCAGCATATGGGGGTGATCATGTCCAAAGCAATAAAAACATGGCAAAAGAAAGCACCCAAGTGCCATTATAAGGGCTCTAGGTCAAAATGCTGGTAAAGTGTGCAAGCACTGGTGTGATCAACAACTGGTCATCCAACTGAGACCAAGCTGAGTGGTTGAGTTTTAGCAAAGTGAAAAAAGTTTACACCACAAGGTCAGATATAGGGTGACCCCATCTTACCTGTCCTAAATGAACTGTAAATTCAGGCTTCATCCATCACAGTGGGTATAATACCAAAGCAGCAGAGACTGGGCTCCATAGCAGAGACTGGGCTCCATAGCAGAGACTGGGCTCCATAGCAGAGACTGGGCTCCATAGCAGAGACTGGGCTCCATAGCAGAGACTGGGCTCCATAGCAGAGACTGGGCTCCATAGCAGAGACTGGGCTCCATAGCAGAGACTGGGCTCCATAGCAGAGACTGGGCTCCATAGCAGAGACTGGGCTCCATAGCAGAGACTGGGCGTCAACCCTGGCTCTGTATAGCACCCTGTGGCTGACTCAAACATGACATCCCAGTGCCAAAAGCAAGCACCCATGCAGGATCTAGCACCCAATCAGCCATCCCCAAAGGCTTTGCCAAGGATACACCCGATCCAGATCCACTGCTTCTATACTGAAATTTGAATACCATAGGGGCTTGATTTTAGATTAAAAAAAACCCCAAAAACTAGTTAAGCCAAGGGTGATTTCCTCTGGGAAGAACAGGTCAAACAACATCAGCCACTAGTGCAAAACTGAGGAACCAGGTGGGCTAGGGTTGTAGGGGAGGCACCCAGGGGGGCATGTCCTCTAAAGCTCAGCCAGTGCCAAGCCACCTTAAGGCATACACCTGCAACCGATTTTTTGCTGCATTAGCACTTTATATGGTAATACACCTTGGTACAATTCTAGCTCTTGCCCTACTTTTATCCATACAACTATATTTTGCAGATCCCATAATTTTTTGTGCAAATAAAGACATTTATACACGTTGGAATTCCCTGACTGGACAGTAAACCACATCCATTGGCACCATTATAAAAACCATACACAACTGACTCCATGACATGGATTAACCTGAACTGAAAAGACCTGTAAAGCTGCAGTGAGCAGCTGCACTGCAAGTCCACTCGCTTAAGAAAACCATTTGCACCAAGTTTGAAATGTTTATTTCACATGAAAGCATTCTAAAATATACAGGCTTAATTTTGCTAGGAATGGTAAATTCTGTAAAATAAAAACTAAAAATAAAGGCCACTTCTGTGGAACAAAACAAGCATGTTAACTGATACAATAAACTTTGAAGTGTTACTTTATTCAATACAAAAAAAAAGAAAAAAAAAAAAAAAAAAAAAGTATGAACTTTGTTGTGTTTACTGCTCTTACAAAATGAACAAAACCAGTTATCGCAGTCAATATCTAGGCAAACAGAACAGCACACTGGCTAATGAGAATACATTGGCTTTTTTTATTTAAAGGCTACACAGTAATGAAAGGGGTGTGTCAAGTTTGGGTCTTAAACAGTATAGTAACAATACAAGGACTCACGTTCTTTTCAAGGTTACATATTCCCAAGATGTTTTATTCTAACACCGTTGAAATCTTTTAGGAACTCTGCAAGCTGCATCCCTGGAACTGCACCTTTATCTGATTGTTGTTGGCCCATTCAATTTCATGTTTACAAGTCATATGAGCGTGCCAACAAAAAGGAAAGAAAAAAGCCTCCATGTTATTGTGAAAAGCTGATCACATTGGATCCTTAATTGCAACCTGGCAAATGTGTTAAAAAAAAAAAAAAAAAAAAAAAGAAAAAATATGTTGGGACAGGGAAAGAATGAATTGGTTATTTACAACTTGATTAAAGAAAAAAGGGGGAAAAAAAAAAAAAAAACCTGCTTTAGAGGTCCAAAGTCTAGTAGCTTTCCTGAAATTTGCCAACCAGGATATGGGCTTTCACAGTGCTGTAAAATCTTAACTGTGAGCGGCTAGGATAAGAAATGTATACATGACAAAGCAGGAGTGAATCTCATTGGAATGGCACATTTAATAGTGTAGGTGAAGTTTTGTTGAACAAAAAGGGTTCTCCAGTTCTGCTAACCTATTTTTTAAAGAACCAAAAATTCAGTTTAAAAGTAAACCTGTCATGAAAGAAATGTGAAGGCTGTCTAGACATGGTTGATGCGCTTTAAGTGCCAAGTCCACCCCCCCCCCCCCCCCACATTCAGATGCAAAAAGTCGAGATGGCATTTTTCTTCTGGGTCAAATGTCTAGAGGCTTTGCGTAACAGCCAGGAAAATAGCATCTTCAGGAGATTTGAGCTGTGGCAACCTCCATGTTTCTTCCTGAAAGGCTTCCTTTAAAAAAAGGCAACAAACATTAACTGGGTTCTTCGCTTGAAAGTCTGCTGGTCTGAAGAACCCCAATCGAAATGTCTCAGAACAGGTAACACTTGTACAAGCACTGTTATCCTGTCAGTTTTGTACCAAATTACATACATAACTCACAGATTAACAAGTCTAACAAAAAAAGGGTTCATATGGAATTATATGCTTTCAGTAATTAAACATTAAGGGCAAAAAAAAAAAAAACCCCAAAAAACGCCAAATTTTCCATCATCAGCGACAGAAGTGGAGTTTAACAGTACTATGATTGGAGCTCCTATAATAAACGACAGAAGTGGAGCTCGACAGTACTATACAAAACTAAAATTTGATCAACTGCAACGAAACTACAAAAATAACTGGAGAGATCTTTACATTAGAACTTTATAGTAAATGTTTACCCTGAACCCTCCAAGAAGAAAGTGTTTAGAGTAACAGCACCTGTCCAGGTGGATCATCATAAACTGACTAGAGAAATATGGCTAACTGCAGAAACTTGGGTGATGACCAAATGGTTGTCATGACATCAGAGGATTTTTGCTTATAACGGGAACTGCAGAGGCATTGAAGAGAAAAAAACAAAAAAAAAAGAATCAGAAGAAGATACAGGTGAATGGAAGAAAAAAAAAAAAAAGCCCACCAACTACTACCTTTACCTCTTCAGAAAGTCTCCACTGCCAAAAGGCATCCACTTACTCATGTTCCAGTGACAACCTATCACTCAGCTATTGAAAAAGGAGAAGGGAAGGGCTTTAATAAAAATCTCCAGTCATTTGCGCAGTTGCGACTTCGTGTGAAACAAAAAACGTGCGCACGTCCACTTTGATTAGACTGATCGGGCTGGGTCTGGGCAGGAAAAGGACTATTCTGCATCGCCACTGTTCTTTACAGACGATACGCTCTCGCTAGTTGTGCTCATGGGGGAACTCCGCTGAGTCGAGCTTTCGTTTTGCTGATCCTCATCCGTGCCCGCTTCACCCGCGAGGCACGTAAACTTGCGATCTCCAAAGAGCAGGTTAAGTCTGGCTTCAAAAAATGACTGCAGCTCGATGATTGACTGAACCACCGCTTTATCCTGTAGGAATACACACAAAATTTTCATTAAACACGGGTCAGTGAAGAGCAGCATTTCAGCAACAAAGAGGGGGGGGGGGGGGGGGGGGAACGACCCAAAAATAGTTGCAAGCTTTTTAAGATCAGATAATTTCACCTTCAGGGGCACCCATGTCCTGCTCTTGCAGTTCTCCCTCAGTTTCCTGTTACAATGGGCCAAGGATCTTTCTGCACCCACTGACACAATTTGAAAAGAACACAGCACAAACAAACACAGAAACAGACTACAAGTATCCACAGCCCTCGCAGCCATTGGCTTGTAGTTCTCAATGAACTACCACGGTGCTGTGAGCATCCTTGTAGTTGACCGATTCTTCCCGGTCTGATGTAACTGCCTGCCTGTACCAGAGGTACAGGTAGACAGCTACATTGACTGCCTGCAGGAGCCTGAGATTGCACCAGTGATCGGCTGATCGTGGGTGCAATGCGTTACAGGCTTCCAAGAAAAAAAAAAAAAAAAAACAGTAAAGTCACTTCTATTTAACCTGCAAAGAGTACACTATTTTTTCAAAAGGTGAATTTTTCTTAGTACTTTAAGCAATTTGAGAATCTTTAAAAGCTCCATAATTTACATGCGAGAGCCACAAAACCCCATGAACAAGCAACATTTGTTTGCAACTACTCTGGTGTAATCTGTCACAGGCAAGGAGGAATCACATTATAAAAAGAACATGTTTTCAGGTCACATGGATCCCTCCTACACACGTCCTTTCAGCTCATGACCCTGTTCATTAAAGCGGAGTTCCACTTACTCAAAAAAAAAAAAATTTAAAAAAATTTAGCAGCCAAAAAAAAAACTGTAGCTGCTGACTTAAAAAAAAAAAAAAAAAAAAAAAAAAAAAAAGTCACGATCCCATGCGTTGCCCCCGCCACAGCCCATTTCACCGGCCGTCCTGTATTCCAGGCACCAGCATCTTTAGTGTGGGCACGCAGCTGTGACAGCTTGCAGTTCCACAGCCGGGTACCCACTGCACATGTGCAAGTAGCGCTGCGCTTCCTGAATGGCCCCGTCGTCTTCTGGGACCTGTCACGTGTCCCAAAAGACTTTGGGGAGGGAGGAGGAGTACAACATCCATTTGCGATCGCAGCGCAAGTGGGAGCGGGTACCTGTCAAATTCGGGCACCCGTTCCCTTCCCACAGCTCCACAAAGGTGCCAATCCTTAATGGGGAGTGGGGGACCAGTCTTTAAAGCGGACCTTCCCCTTTTGGGTGAAACTCCGCTTTAATTCAGAAAAGAATGGCCAAGTAGCATTCCCTTTGTGTAACAGAATCTGAAAACCCAAATGCTAACTTTACACTCCTGTTCTGGCTGAGAATGAGACACTAAATCCCGATTGGTGCCTTCTCTTCTAGGCATGCCATGTAAATATGGAACATGCACACAAGTACTTTTACCGTACAGAAAAGGCTTACTGCAATCATTTGGACAAAATCCTCTAATATACAGGTTTATATAGATGAAAACAGAAATCAAGCCAACCTCTGCAAGCTTGCTGATATTTCTAAACATCAACCAGACATCTTTAACAAACTCATCAGGGTTGGCGTATGAAGGAGAGAGCTTCTGCTGCAGCTTGGCTCGAATAAGTGTTAAGTCGATCAATGGGTCATCATCCTAAAAACACAAAGCAAGACAATGAGTTATTAATCCTGAAAACATTTAAACAAGCACTACAGTGACAAATTGTTTCCTGGAAACTATATGGGGTAAATACCTGAGGTGAATGAAAGGGCATTCTGCTGTGTAGAAACTGCCATGTTCATACTGACAGACTGGAGCAGACATATTTTGCCAATATTCTTTTCAATAAAGGACAGTACAGCTTACACACAGAATATATATTCCTACTGCATCATACCAGGAACCAGGTTCCTGGCTATATGGTCAACAGTTTTTCCCACTACATGGTGGCTCAAGCAGGTGTGAAAAAAAAGAAAAAAAAAAAAAAAAAAAAAAAAAGGAGTGGCTATGCTTATCCACGGGGTCAGGAAAAAAATCATATTTTGTGTAGTAGTTCTGGGTGAATACAGGAAGGTACTGGGCTGAAAAAGTAAATTATATACTTACCGCTCCACTTGAAAGTCTATGAAAAGGCCGGCATGGATCATGGCAAAACAGTTCCAGCAGTACACGCTCACACTTCTGAAATGACAAATGTGAAAAATGTGTTTAAAGTGCTGGAACACACAGGCTCCATATTACAACTGCAGAATCAAAAGTTCCTTTTAGGGTCGGGTTACACCAGGAATAGCACAGGAACGCGCTGTGTGTTCCTGTGCGATTAACATGCACTTTTGTGGTGAACATGAGGGGCGATCAAAGGGTTAACTGTGCACTGTTTTTTTACTTGTGTGTGTGCTTCATTGTAAGCACACTGCTTTGCATGGCTGTGCACAGCCATTTAAAGCAGTGTGCACAAGCTGACAGGGAGAACGGTTTTGTTTACAAAACAGTTCTCCCCGTCGGAGAAGCTCAGCAATCACCAGGCGCCGGTGAGTAATCATTGGCTGGGACGAGATTTTGCGCACCCGTGCCACCCTGTAGCAGTATTTCTGCTATAGGGCGGTTGGGGAGTGGTTAAAGCTGGCTTTGCATGCTAGTCTCATATCGAAAATGAAGAGGTTACTAAAGTTATGAAAATTCTTGCAAGACAGAATTAGTCACTCGATTTTCTACAAATACTATACTGATTAAATGAAAATGGTTTGTTCCGCTATCATACGAGAACATTTCTCGTGCTTCTCCCTTCGAATAATTTTGCACGAACAGTTGTGATTGGCTCTTGAAAGCCATGACTATGATCAGATTATCAGAATACCTGAACAGTGACAGCATATTATTAGATCCATGCACTGTTCGGATGACAACTGTCTACCTGGCTCCTTTGACAAAAGTGGATTGCACTGGATGGGCTGAAATTACACTGCACAAAAGAAAAAAAAAAAAAAAAAAAAAGTAGCACATGCACCACTTTTGGAAACTGCCCGCACTGGATCTCAAGGTACAGAAGTACAATGCAATTGTAGTGAAACGCACTGCATTTAGGGTGTCATTAACTTAATATTGGTGTGGGAAACATACAGAATGGTGTGAAACGGCCCCTAAAGAGAATGTAAAGCGGTCTTTATTTGCTCACTATATGTCCAAATCCATGCAGACAGCCCAAGGTATGAAACCCAATCAACCTCTATCTTAGGATCCAGTGAGATAAAAACATAAGGAAACAAAAAAAAAAAAAAAAAAAAAAAAAAAAAAACACACAATTGGTTGCTCCAATTCGGAAAAATTCAAACCCCTATCCAATGCCACTTCTAATTTTTCTCCATTTGTGTCACAGGAAGACTAGGTAAACATTTTAGTGTCTAGAGTTACCTGTGCAGACTACTGCAAGATCAATGGCAAGTCACTGGAAAAAAAGACAGACCCTCACTTATTCACAGTGACTGCCATGATTTACTATGGGAGAGTGGCCATGCAGGTTTTCAATCATTTCACACCCATGAATGTCAAATAAGGAGACCACATAAAACAGTCACTTTACCAAAAGTTGAAGAATTTTTTGGGAAAAAAAAAAAAAAAAAAAGTTTTAAATTTGCAACCAGCCCACATTTCAATTACCACTCCCCACAAAATTTTTTTTTTTTTATAGATAGATGAAGACAAAAGGTATTTAAAGAAAGAACGTCATACAAACCTTCTGATCAGCTGCTGACATGTCAGAGGGATTAGTATCTGCTGGGAGAGTCTCCTTGAGCAGTTTTTGGAAAATCCTGGCACAGCATACACTTCCAATCTCCACTAGAGGACAACAAACATTGATAAGTTACAGAATACATTGTATGTTGACACTTCCCTATCAAGGTCCGGGGGCAACCTTTCCTGTCAGTCAGAGATTTAAAGGGGAAACTTCGCTAGCAGCTTCGCTAGAAATGAATTCCTGAACTGGCCTTTGCAACTAAACTGTCTTACTTTCCCTTAATCACCCCCCCCCCCCCCCACAGGAAACTTTCAGTGGGCACAGTGAAACCTCACAAGCACTTGGACCAATGTCTAAGGTGTAGATGTCTTAATTGTTCTTCAGAAACCCATACTGGCATTAAATTGGGGGAAAAAAAAAAAAAGTTAGATCCCCTCCCTCCATCTTCACTTACGTTCAATCTTGTATTCACAAGAGCAGACTTTATAGTTCAGCTACACTGTTTTAGCACAGCTACTGAATTAATTACTTCCAAACAAGTTCTAATCAAATACAATACCTTGCTACTTCGACGGCAGGCAGATGGCAGTCTCTATGGAAGCTGTTTTTACACTGGCCACATGTAAGCAGTGTCCCATCTTTCTGGCACACCTTACAGCGAGCGGCAGGGCCACCGTCTGATAACCCAGTGCTGGCCCCTGGAGCATCTGAAGTAGCGCCATCGCTAGCTGCACTCGCTGGGCGAGCTGCGGGAGCACTTTCGGGCAGGCCATCGGGTCGCACTTGAGGCTTTTCCTCATTGGATTCAGCTGACGGGATGCCGATGCCAGTTTCCATTGCCTCTTCCTACCAAGGAAAACAATTGGAAAATTATATACAGTCTGAATCGTGTCATTTCAGATACAAAAAAAGGTAGCAATGTAAAAATAAGATAGCCCCTAATAAAAAAAAAACAAAAAAAAAAAAAATTTCCCTTTCACTGCACTGGAAGTCTTCTGTTGGAACAACAACATAATGGTTGTACTAGATGGACTTTAGTCTTTTTTCAGCCAGACTAAGGCTGGCCATACACTATACAATTTTCTTGAGATTTTTGGTTTAGATTTACCAAAAACCATATAATAGGAGGTCAAACCTAACAACACTTTCAATTGTATCCAATTAGACAGGCTCTTGCACTACATAGTTGAAGGTAAACCTAAAGGAAATTTGGCAGAAAATTGTATAGTGTATGGCCAACCTAACTATGTAACAACACTCCCCAGCTGTCATAGCATTATGCCACTTCTGGTTCCAGTTCTATCAATCTGATGTTAGGGGCCTATTATACCCCTGATGTCATTATAGAAGACCTGTCACTTCCAATGTTTTAGTACTCTTCAGACCTAAAATGTGCATTATACCATGTGTACAAAAAAACTGCTCTGGCAAAAAAAGGTTAAGGATACTGCAGGAGATTTAATACCATGTTCAAAAGCATCAATTTTTTAAGTAAAAGCTCTCCAATTCTGTTCCATTCATATGAATGAAAACGTTTCCTGTGCTAGATTTTTATGAAGGAAACCACTCAATTCTGTGATTCGCACAATTGTTTATTTTATGTAATCTGCTAACACACACAGCATACCCAAGGCATTTTTTTTTACTAAATGTAACAAATGTGCACACAATCTGTCAGACATCAACTTACAGGTTATGTTTTACTTACCTTTACAATAGGATCTCCTCCACCTGTTGCCGCCGCTGCAGCAGCGGCTGCAGCATTCCCCCTCTCAATTACAATTAGATTATAGTCCTCTGTGGTGTTTCCAGGAAACACTTTAAAAACTGGGGGTTGTGTTGCTGGACTAAGATCAACATCCAAACGCTCCAAGCTGACTCTAGGAACTTTCTTCAGCAGTTCATTAACATCACCTCCCTCAGAAGAGCGCCCCCTTTAAAAAAAAAAAATTTTTTTTTAAATATATAATATATATGTGCTTTACAGTACAGTGATTGTGGGTCACTTAGCGGAATATACGAATTGTTAAAGAATTTTACCTTTTTTGACCAACAGACTCTACCCCAGAAGATTCGCCTTCTAGAAGAGAAAACATGTTAGGGTCAAATACGGCTTAACCGTACCAATGACTTAAGACACTGGAAAACAAGCATACCTGCAAAGTCATCTTGAACAAAGTTTCCTCTCCCTGGACCGGGTCTCGACCGGTTCTGTACCATTGGACTGAAGTTGGTAAGAGGAGTCAGCACTTGAGAATTTGAATTATGCGATGATGGCAGGACACCCCCGTTTTGTCTGATACAATCTTTCCTGAAATTAAAAACCGGCAAAAAAATTAAAATCCGTTGGAGCAGGGGGACCCCAGAAGCTGCCTGCAATGCCACCAGCTCTGCCCGAGGCTACCCCACCAGCTCTGCCCGAGGCTACCCCACCAGCTCTGCCCGAGGCTACCCCACCAGCTCTGCCCGAGGCTACCCCACCAGCTCTGCCCGAGGCTACCCCACCAGCTCTGCCCGAGGCTACCCCACCAGCTCTGCCCGAGGCTACCCCACCAGCTCTGCCCGAGGCTACCCCACCAGCTCTACCCGAGGCTACCCCACCAGCTCTGCCCGAGGCTACCCCACCAGCTCTGCCTGAGTGTATGCTTCCCTGGAGTTATCTGACTGTTTATGAACTGCTGTAGAGACTTTAACTTTGCCCACCGGGGCTGGATTACAAGTATTTCGGACTCTCTCTCTCTCTCTGCACTACTCCCCCATTGAGCGACTGTCTGTTCTAATTAAGCTTTAAGTGTTTGCCGTCTGCCTTGTGTGTTCTGTCCCGCTTACCCTCCGTCACACTGACTTTTAGGCCTCATTTACATGGGCATAATTAAGCACACATTTGTGCTAAGGGCCATGTAAGGCCACACTGGATGTACAAATGCTTCATGCAGGCAGTCTCATTTATGTCTACTGGGACACAGCTGCTGCTCCCAAATTTAATATCTGTACAGGTTTTCCATGAATGCAGACCGTGAGTTCAGGTACACAACCACACAGGTGTCAAATTGGGAGCAGCAGCTGCGCATCCCAATAGATGGATGGTAATGCCTACATGAAGATGCAGACACCTGTGCATCCCGTGCAAAACAAACAGCCTTTTGATCGAATGTATGCTCAAGTACACCAGTGTGAAGGTCTTACTCTTCAGATGTTGGACTACACATCCCTGACACTCACCTTCAAAACTTAAAATGTTACTAAACCCCGGCCTTCCCTACACCCGGTCTCCCCAGACCCGGCCTTCCCTACACCCTCCCCCAGGTCCCGGCATTCCCACCCGGTCTCCCCAGACCCGGCCTTCCCTACACCCGGTCTCCCCAGACCCGGCATTCACTATCCCTACCCGGCACCCTGGTCTCCCCAGACCCGGCATTCACTATATCCGGTCTCTCAGTGCATACAAAATGCAAATGCAATTATTTTAGTAAATCTAAACTGCTAAATACCTTTTTTCATCAGCAGTTAAAGCAGTCTTGTAACTATCAGTGTCCAGCTGAGCACTGGTTAAAGCTTTGAGATTTCATCCTGCTCTAGAACACAGAACCCCTACCCCTGACCTGTCTGGACAGTGCCGATTGGCCTTGTGCTGATCACATGCACTCAAGGAAAAAAAACCTCTTTAGCAATACACACCAAACTGAGTATGTGCAGTGTGAATGCACACAATATATGTCTTATCAGGAGATAGGAGGGGGCACACAAAAGGGGAGGATCAGAAGTCAGAATCAAGCAGCCTTTTTACACAAGGCAGAGGATTAACCCCTTAGGTGCAACAGTGAGTCTACCAAGCATGCCTTACTCCATATACACATTGATTTTACTGTTGTGGGTTTAGTAACACTTTAACCTTAAATGTGACAAGACAAAGAACCAATTAGTGAAAAACCTGTTGCACAAGCATGCTGCTAAATAGGGATCCGACAATCATTGTTTTCATCAACTGCTCAGTTTCATCCTCAACCTGCCACATCTTGGATTCACAACTAGAGACATCCTCTACAGTAGATTTAGAGACCCAGCCTCCCATACCAGCCTTGGGGTCCTTTCACATGGGAAGTGGTGGCCACTGTAGACTGAAACACTTAATGATGTAAGCCAACAAAGCTGCACAATCCTATACTGTGGCCCATGACATCTATATACCAAACCTACACTTTTTGCCAGTAAAAAGGTAAATTTATTTTTTTTTGCCAGGGAAAAAAAAAAAAAAAAAGTTTAAAATGTTTAAAAGATTTGTGAGATGGACTAAGTCGGCTGTTGACATAGTAATTCAATTGACAATTGCACGTTAAACCTTTATCACTTGACCCCAGACCAAAATTCTACCATTTCTCACATACATGTAAAAATATATTTTTTTGCTAGAAAATTACAGAACCCCAAACATTTAACCTCTTGCCTACCGGTTACTTATACCCCCCCATCCTGCCCATGCCAATTTTCAGAGCTCCTGCATTTTGAATGACAATTGCGCAGTCATGCAACACAGCACCCATATTAAATGTTTATCTTTTGCCACACAAAAAGCTTTTTGGTGGTATTTAATTGCAGCTGGGCATTTAAGAAAAAAAAAAAAAAAAAATTGAAAAAAAAAGTTTATTAAATTTAGCAAACAGGTATGTTTTTCGGATTCAATGATCTGCGTTGAGGCTACACTGATGGGCACAGGTGGGCAGCACTGATCATCAGGGTACTGATAAGTGCCGATATCTTCTCTGACAATTGCCGGTTACAGGCAGTACTTTCCTCATGCAGTGAGAGCGTGAGGAAAGTGCAGCCAATATCCGGCAACTGTATTTACCCAGTGATCTGCTGTGTCATTGGTGTCGGCTGATCACGTGGTAAAAGGCCGCTGTGATTGGCCTTTTACATCACATGATTAGCTATGTCTGTGGAACACAGCAATCACCAGCGGCACTGGGTGGGGGCATGTTCTGGGAGGACGTCTATGGACGCCCTCCCCCAGAACTACACAACCATGCTGTAGCCATATTTCGGTTGGGAGGAGGTTAAGCAGAGGCCCTGGGGAATAAAATGTTAAATTTTTGGTAAAAAATAAAGATATTACGCTGAGTAGATGCCAAACATGTCACGCTGTAAAACTGCACATGCCCATGTAATGGTGAAACTTCA